CTAAATATGGCTATAGAATCAAGATGGCATGCATTTTTTCTAACCGCGATGAAATAAATACATTTGGAAATAATTTTATATATATATATATATATATATATATATATATATATATATATATATATATATATATATATATATATATATATATATATATATATATTTCGGAAAACGAGGACACTGAATACACCATATATATCTTATACACACATGATATTAATAACTAACACACAAAATATTTGAATAACCACATATTTAGAAACACCCGAACGAAACCGTGGTCAGAGCAAGACTAAATGTTTTTGATATTGTGGAAGCATTCTGTCAGCCATGTTGCAAACCGTAAACGAAGTTATAGGCAATTCGATTGTTAGCCTGGCGAGACAACAGGAAAGACATTCCAGTAAAAACCGGTATTATCCAGTTTCGTCTCCTCTATTGGAATTATTAGTTCCTTATGTCGAATTAAAAATGATTTCTTTTTGTCAATATAACAGCTGTTCCACTGTTACCGTTCTTAATTTCCTGTGGTAGCTTTATAAACAGTAGACATTTTAATTTTAAATAAATGTACAAATAAAGAATGTCTCAGTTCGTCGACGAGCCAGTCCTTAATCTCAGAGCTGAGCTTATCTATGGAAATCCGTGCGTTCCTTTAACAATCGCTTAAATCACCGTGCTTTCATTGATGTTTGGGTTTGATGGATCCGCTGGATTCATTATAATTTCAGTGCCGTTATTAATGAATTAACTTTACACATTTATATTCAGTTTAATTGTTATATATGTTTATTTATTATTTAATATTTAACTATACAGATTACAGAGATATAAAAATTAAAATTTATGTATATATACCGATTTATAAAAAACAAATAAAAATACCCACAATGAACTATAAATAAATATAGAGGCCATCTTTGTCAGTGGCACTCTTGTCAGATGAAAAATATTTCATGGCACTTAATTATTTATTATAATTAAATAAATAATTTAAATATACATTCGTAAAAGAAAATGGCTACTGTCAAACAAAGTTATTATAATATAATACACGGCTATGAAAACTATATAGTAATGAATTGTTTTAAATAATGTTCCGTACTCTGTATAATTTTTACTTTCACATCCCTTTTGTCTGAAAATATATATTCTCTAAAAGAGGGGTGGTAAGTGAAAGTTTTGTGATGTGCGCACCGCACCAGATTTTTCATTTTGTAAAAAAAAACAAACTAAGGTGTCTGTTTTAGACCACACGATGGAAGTGAAAACATCAACAAGACGAGATTAAAAATATGTAATATATATTATAAATAATAGCTCACTCTGAAGAGGATGAAATACTAAACATTTTTCTCGGTTACTATATGCAGGTCCGATTTTAAGTTTCTGAGATATTTTAATCCATATATTGAATAACACTCAAATCAGTTGGTTTTCGACATTTTTTCCCCCTTCCCTCTCTATAACACAGTGGCGCGTTAAGATACAATTTTGAATAATAGGATTAACATCCATTACAAAGATGATTAAATGATGAACATTTCCCTCGATAAAAATATGCAGGTCCGATTTTTCATTTTTTAGATATTTTAAGCCATTTTCAAAAATACTTCAATCAGTCGACTCTAGCTGACTTTAGACGAGCGTTACCCATAGGATATCTGACAACTCTATCTAATTTACTCTGCACAAAAAAGTGCAAAACATGCCTAAAGAATTCTTCAAAAAAAGTATATTGTCCAGAGGTTATGTTTTTTTATATATATGCAGTCGATTCTTTTTATTACATAATTATTATTATATTTTTTTGTACATATGTTGAGCTTCGATCTAAGTGTTCACGTAACATCTTGAGGGAGCATGTTCAGAAGCAAATAAAATTGGTGTTAATTTTGACCAATCATGTGAAACAATTATTTCAAGTAACTCAAATTCAATTTTACAGATAATAAATAAATAATGGACCGTTACCATGACCTAAATGTCCCGAACGGTACCTGATACATTATTAGCGATCCTAGATTGTAGAATAGTATCCCTAAGTTGTGTTTTAAATATGAATGGGACAAATAGGAGGTTTCCTGCTTCAACTTCCGAATAACTTTTCCCCAGAACATAATAATTAGCTTTGAAGGATCGCGTCCGGGTAATTGGGAATCATAAAATATTTCCCAGCTCTTTCGGTAACGATTTCCATTTCGGTGTTTATCCGTTGCGGTAACCTCGAATAGCCAGTCGACTCTATTATTACTAAAGGGCTAAAGGTGTTAATCATGAATGATGTAATTGGTAACGAATTGATTAACTCAAAGTTATCCTCTCAACATTTCCCTCCAACTAGGAATGCGATAACTGAAATAGGGTGTTTAGGGGAAAATCAAATCCAGATGAAACAATAAGAACTGATGATAATGAAAACAGGCCAACAAAGTTTAAACTATTCAACTATAAAATACATAATATAAAAGAATCAAGCAGGGCGTTAATCAAGAAATATTAATATTTTATTTGAAGAGAAGAATAGTTGGGGTGGTCAGTCAAAAAAGAAGGATAATTTTACTATTTATTTTCAATTAATAATTAATAATTTTAAAAATAAGTAAATTTTATTTAAACATAATTTTAAATAAAATAATTTTACTATTTATTTTCATTTCTTATATAACTTCATATTTCTTATTTTATTTTTTTATGTTTTACATTTTATTCTAAGATTCCCATTGTAACACTTATGTCACCCTTTTTGATTATGACTACTTCATTATTCCACACTTTGTAACGGTTATTATTATTTATCTCTTAGTTCTTAGTCATTATTCTAACAATTTCATTTTACTTTATATTTATTTATTTTATTTTTATTTATTTTTATTTTTTTTACCATCACTACTTATGTTTCTCATACCTTGTTATCAGGCTATTTTCTTAGCCCTGATGAAGGCCTGAACTTCAGGTCGAAACGTCGGCATATGTAAAAATAAATATTATCATTTATTTTTGCCTTCTTTTTTGACTGACCACCCCAACTATTCTTCTCTTCATTATCCAAGACAGTCAACCATTTACCAATTATAATATTTTATTTATTCTATAAATAATTTTAAACCCTACACCCACTCCTAAAGATCATAATCCAGCCTTAAGTAGAGAGTCCAGCACAATTAAACTTGAGGACTTCCACCCACATATTTATGATGAAAATAATTATATTTTTTTTAGCAATAATTTTGACAATATGATATGTAATATATATTTTTAGTAATATCCAAGTTCAAAAATTATAATAATAATCTAAAGGCATGATAGGTAACTAAATTTAACGAAAACTAAAATAATCTAATTTCATTATATTATAAAAAAAATTTTAATAATAATATAAGGGCGCAGAGTAGCTCAGTGGGTAAGGAAATGACTTCCAAAGCTCACAGTCCCTGGTTGAGTCCATTTGATAACTAACTTGTAATTCTTTATTCTGTTTCAGTGGATCGACGCTGGGATCGGAAGACCTTCCTGGATTACACCCTCAGCAACAAATTAGATAATCTGCATTAAAAAATGAACTAAGAGATGTACTAATGAATGAAAGATATGTAATAATGTATGAACCTGGCGTAACAAAGAATAATTTTTGGCTCGCCCTATCACGGATGAGTTTAAGATATTATTCATGTCATACTGTTTAAGATTAGTGTCATTCGTTTAATTTACGTATAACAAAAATAATTGTGATTGTGGGTAACTGGTTGTCTGTCGTAAATAATGAAGAGAAGAATAGTTGGGGTGATCAGTCAAATAAGAAGGCAAAAATAAATGATAATATTTATTTTGACATTTGTCAACGTTTCGACCTGAAGTTCAGGCCTTCACCAGGGCTAAGAAAAGAACCAGATAACAAGATATGAGAAACATAAGTAGTGTAAGTAAAAAAAATAAAGTAAAATGAAGTTGTTAGAATAATGACAATAATAAGAACTAAGAGATAAATAATAATAACCGTTACAAAGTGTGGAATGATGAAGTAAACATAATTAAAAAAGGTGAAATAAGTATTAAAATGGGGATCTTAGAATAAAATGTAAAACAGAAAAGAATATGAAGGTATATAAGAAATGAAAATAAATAGTAAAATTAAGATATTGTAAATAGAATAGTTAGATAGAAAATTGAGATATTGTAAAGTCTATCAAAATGTACAACGCATAATATAATAAAGAGTAAAACATTTTATTCTAAGATTCCCATTTTAATAGATATGTCACCTTTTTCGATTATGTTTAATTCATCATTCCACACTTTGTAACGGTTATTATTATTTCTTACTATTATCATTATTCTAACAATTTCATTTTACTTTAATTTTTTTACTTACACTACTTATGTTTCTCATACCTTGTTATCTGGTTCTTTTCTTAGCCCTGATGATGGCCTGAACTTCAGGTAGAAACGTCGGCAAATGTCAAAATAAATATTATCATTTATTTTTTCCTTCTTATTTGATCGATCACCCACACAATTCTTCTCTTCAAAAATAATTGTATGTTTTTTTTTACTCTCACTTATTTTTTATACAACAAGAAAAACTGAGGTACATTTTTTTCAATTTTTCGTGTTGTTTTTTTTCATTACATTGAAAATCTGACCTCCCCCCCCCAAAAAAAAATAAAAAAAAAGAAATAGTATATTCTAAAGAACAAAAACTTCTAACTTGAATAAGGTTTCCATTTATTTATTTAATCTTACAAGTTCCCAACATAAAATATACTAAGCTTTTAAAAAAAAAAAAAAATAAATAAATATAATCTAACCATAGTTTTGGTAAGTCGCTGAAGATGTATCGGATTCTTTAAGTCCTTCTAGAACCTCCGTCGACAGGATGAAGCTTCCTCGGAAGACTCCTTGGTGGCAAACAATTACCCATGCTCCAGAGGATCACACTGCAGAGGGTCCTCAACAATGATTCTTCAATGGAATCAAGGGGAGCCGTCCTATAGGACCCTTTATAATTGTCGAGAGCCGTTGGGGTGACAATACAAAAAAAGGCAGTCACATGTCGCTTCAGTAATAATACCGTCACAACCTGTATTGATCTGAGCTGTTGTTTGAGTATAAAGCCATCTATCTAAGCATTCCTGATTTATTAAAAAAAAAAAGTTCCTTGTAATTGTGTAAACATTTTTTTATATGAGGAAGAGTTATAATTAATCTTGGGTTTTTATAAAAGACATTTTTCTAACATAATATAAATATTGTAAATCACCGATTAGTCCGTGGTACAGATACATTTTTATGAAATTATTAACATCCGCCTGAAACTTCTTCAATACCTTTTCTCATCGTAACCTCCAACTATTTTATTTACGAAAATTCTCGGAATTTTGGCGTTTTCGATCTGGAGATCGGCAAACTTTGTCTATTTAATTAAGTACTAAAAATTCGTAAACACATATTTGCTTTCCACTTGATTCATTGGAAAAATCATAGATCCTATATAATTACACTTGCTATGGTCTGGGCCATTTTTTCCTCTTGTTCTCTGGTTCGGAACATTACACTTCGAAAATTTATAACCCCGAGATAATGTAGTCCCCTCGAAAATTCCAACTCACGTCGAAAAACTCCTTGGTCGATTTCAATAAGGAAAAACATATGAAATGATTATTTCATCTTATAATACGTTGTATTATTTAATTTCCTTATTACTTCATCATTTGTTCACTGACCTATATTCTTTGTGAATTAATCACACCGACCAACTAGTCAAATTATTAATATTCGTCTAAAATTTCGCGAATGGCGTCATCTTACGGTAACCTACAATTTTTTTTAAACAAAAATTTTTCGAAATGGTGCGTTTTCTTATTAAAGATGCTAAAAACTCATTAATATCCAATTGATTTCCACTTGAATTATTAGATAACTTTATCAGGAAATCTATATTAAACTTGGTTATAAAAATATTGGGCCGATTGGTCTATATCTCTATATCTAGTCTATATATAAAATTGATATTTTGCAGATGGAGGACATTCCAAATTATTGTGGTACAGACCCCTTTTTATCAAATTATTAACATACGCCAGAAATTTCATAAATAATTTCATCTCCTCGTAACCCACAACTATTTTATTTACGAAAGTTCTCGTAACTAGGGCGTTTTCAATCTTGAGTTCGGCGAACTTTGTTTATTTAATTAGGTACTAATCATATATATATATTAATAAAAATGTCCATTTGATGTCCACATAAATCTTAAGATAATTTGAGCACAAAATCGAGAAAAAAAGTGGTCTGTACCACGGACTAGATTGTATTCTCTTCAACGGCAAAATAAATTGTTCTTCAAGATGGACCAGAAGCCCGAAACGTCGACTAAGGGAGAATACATTTATTTATACTATTTATCGACAGGAGATTTGCCATATTTTATATAAACTCAACAATATTTAGATCTGATTTTGTTTCTTTTTTATATTAAGTAAACCTCTTCCAATTTTATATAATTTATTTACTGATTTTGATCCACTGTCGACACTTAAGTCTTTTGACCCAACTTCAATACAGACAATAAATGAAAAGATAAATAACGACATGAATATTGACTAATGACAGAGAATAAGAGAAGAATTTAAAAACATGTTATTAAGTGTTATACATTATGGATCAAGAGTCCTAAACGTCGATATGGAATTAGAACAAATAAATAAATAATTTAAAATTAGAAGAATGGTTCCTCCAAATAAGAAATCGACTAGAGTAATAGTACTTTGCAACAAAAAATAATTAATCACATAAAATGAATATTCCAAATATGAAAAAATCAATAAATTAGACAAGATGATTGATAAGAAACAATGGGAACACATGTTTTATTTGTGTTTAATGTGCTGAAGATAATGCATGCCATGAAACGTTGAAAACTGTACTATCAATTAGTTAACAATAAAATACCATGAAATCAAGACTTCATTCAACATTGCTTATTAAAGTAAACTCACATTTCTTTCGGTATGTAATGGCATTAAAAATGAGAAAAATATATAATTAATTCTTCAAATTCATCATGCATTATCATATGCTTAATATAGAAAGTAAACAAAACAAAATGACAATCATAATAAATAAAAATCTTCTATCACTACGACCCATGAAGGTTCTTTGGTTCAGCGATAAGGACTGTTTCTTGGTCGATTTAAAAGGAGGGGATTAGACCAAGATCACGCACAACCGCCAAGTTTTCTCTATTAATCAAATACTTTTTTAGATTTAATCAGCAAGGTATGGTGAGAAACACCGTATACCAGCAACGACCGGGTTATATTTATTTATTTATTTTAAGATAAGATCCTAATTACAGATATTTTATTTCGTAAATTTTATTAATATTTTAAAAACAACATAAGGTTAATTGTTAAAAAATTAATCATTTGTAATAAAACGGCATGATTATACAAATAATTGAATATTCGTTATTAGACGAATAGATTTGTATTGATAGAGGTAGATTAGGTATAAAAGAGAAATCTTTGAAATCCGATGACGGAGTGAGAGTTTATCGTAGAAAAGGACGCATTAAAACTGCCTTGGTAAGAAAGAATTCTTAGCAATAGATAAATATGGTAACAAAAATTTAGAGAATCAGAACTAAAGTAATTTCAATTTTTATTTTCTTAATGTTAATGATACTTCAAGCCTTAATATAAAATTTAAAAAAGCAGGAAATTATTAGACAATTGTTCATTATTTCGAAACAGTAATACGTCTAAAGTAACAAATAAAAGGTTACTCCTATTAATGACCTAAATATTTCTTTTTCCATCGTTAGTAATTGGTAAGCAAAATAGCATTACTTCAGTAACGAAAGCATCGCTTTCGAGCTAAAGCCCTCTCTCTCCCCTTTCCCCCAAAATAGTAAAATATAACCATGTTTTATGAAAAAATTATCTCTAAAAGTATTATTATTCGTCTAATTACATTTAAAAGGACTTAAAGAATCAGTTAAACAACATTTCATATAGGTAGTTATTTTCTTTTCGTTCTTCCGAAGTAATTGTCCTAATATATGCATACAAAAAAAAAAATTTCGGTTAGAAGCCCTCCCCCAAAAAATTAAATCCTGGATCCATTAGTGTTTGGAGTATAACATACGAAAAATATCTAGAATGCCATATCTTTGCTCCAAATTGTCCGATCTCAACGATTTTTTTTTTTTTTTTTTTTTTTTTTTTTTTTTTTTTTTTTTTTTTTTTTTTTTTTTAAGAAAATTAGTAAACTTTTAAGTAGTTATCAAAGTGTATACTTATAGAGTCACTTGGAAATATAATTTCACCAGCCCACAAAACATTTATTCCAGCTTCATTTCGCTGAAGTATGTCATACAGATAAATCTAAACGGCATCGAGAAGAAGACTTTACCTAAGTTTCATTGCAATCATCCATTCGTATAGGGCCAACCAACACAGGCTTTTCAGCTGCCATCTTGAAAGAAAAGAGTGATTAGTAATCTTGATATAAGAGGATCTCTCTCTGGAGACTTCTGACTTTGATTCCAAATTTCCGAAAATACGGTCTATTATTCTCGAAGAAAAGGCATGGACGATGGACGGACAAACAAATTTTTATTTGATTTTTTAGTTCTACGTATCCCGAATTTTACAACCTAAAATTTTGAGGGAGTCAAGTATTTGAATTTTTTAGACGATTACTATGGTTCATTGTAAAAATAAACCAAAAATTCAAAAATGCTTTTGGATGTTTAATATATATTTATACAATATTAAAAACATTAGTTGGTAGGTACTATTGTACAAGTATCACTATAATGTATGGCATAATGTTCATGATCATACCATAAATAAAATACCGAGAATGGACGAATGTGCCCGAAAATAAACGAAAATGACCCTTTCTGGCCCGTTCTGTTTTCCCTTTAGATCGAGTGGAAGTCGAAAACTAAGATGTAACGAAAGCTAATTAGTGCCCCCGATTTTAACTGAAAAAGACAAATAGGAAGTTTGGCAAATTGGTAAATCGCGATCTAAATAAAGGGAGTTTATACTGTTAACAATCAATCTTCGGCAATTCTCGGAATCCCATTTATGGCGTGATCATGAGATCTTGGTTCACTCATCAAAGTGGAGTGAGCCTTGTACAGTGTTACCGAGAGGTTTATAAAACATCTTGGCTCTTTTCTACTTAAAGCACGCCAGTGAATTTTTGTAGTGTTTTTGCATTTGGATTAAAATATCTCAGAAACTAATAATCGCGCCTGAATACTGTAACTAAAGGAAATGTTTAGAATTTCATCTTCTTTTTAATGAGCAATTACTCAAAACTGTATATTAATACGAGGTTGTGTTAGGGATGCGAACATGTAAAAATATAGCGTCACTGCTATGCTTAAAGTAGAAAAGAGTCGATATCTATAAACAGTGAATGTGAAATTACCAACAATATTGCAGGGTTACGAGCTTCAAGACAACTCCAGTACTAAAAACCTGAAATGCTTACCAGAAATTATTCTATGAATTGATGTCGATTTCTTTCTTTTACATAGAAAATAACAATCTTGGCCATATGATAAATTATCACCTGCGTTTAACTTGATCCACGTGGTCTAAGAGAATCCATGTTGAAAACAGAAGACTAATGTGCAAAGTGTCTATCGAGGTTTTACGTGAAGACTTTTCTACCATGAAAGAGGGAAAAACAGACGAGAGCGGGGAAGAATGGGTTACTATTGATCACATACTCGGTGTTATACCCAAATGGAAGGCGAGATACATAGTTTTGAAAATTATTGTATTTATCATAGGTTGGTTGACGAGCTCTGCCAACGTGTTCCTGGTCATGAACAGTATCTTCCACAGTCAGTAAGTGCCATAATGCATATTACTTTTTAGATATATGACAAAAAGTAATTTCTTAATTGTAGGGATTTATAGACTGTTAATAATATTATCCATGATATTCGTCAGACTGTAAACTACCCACGGATAATCAAAGTAAAAATTCAACTCTTCCCTCTCTTTAGTAGAATACTGATGGAACAAAGCGTTATCAATCAAAAATAATTTTTAAAAAAAACTAGAGTACACATCGAATACAAGAAAGCAGCTCAGAATCAGGCAACATCCTAAATAGTAAACAATTATGGTTTTTAATGGATAGGAAAAAAGAGATTCTTAAGGATTTTCTAAACCTCTATAAAGCTACCTCAATTAAGCATACCAAGATCATATTGAAAACCACAGAGTAAAACAAAAATAAAAAAAATTAACAATTTCTTCAAACACAACTTATACCTACAAAGATTATTTACTTTTAGTAGCAGAACATCTAGACAACAATTGATAATTGACAATAATTTTTAAAAAATTCAAGGCAACAATAGGACACTTGCATGATTTTTAATTTGTATTTGTCGGTAAAAGTTATGAACAATAAAAACGTAAAAAAATCCATATTTTTCTGAACTATGTTTGCAAAGACAATTATCGTTAAAGAAAAACTGTGGGCACTGAATTACGTCACGAGAGTGGACACACACTGCTACGTTTTGCCAGCGACTATCTCATACCGTTGTGTACTCGCAGCTTATTATTTATAAATACAAATATTTAGTTTAAATTCGACTTTATTAGCTTTCATTTATGCGTGTCATTCATTAAAATTCAGAAAAATTCAGTAAGCATCCTCAACTCCTCAGAGAGAAAAGTGTTGAGAAGAATATGGGGCGGAGTCACTCAGAACGGGATATGAAGCAAAAGGAATGTAGAACTGCGTGAATTGTTCGGTGAACCCGATAACGGTTACAGTGTTAAAAAAATACGAATAAGATGGATAGGACACGTAAAAGAATGCCAAAGAGTATTCTCTTACTTGTAGAGAGCAAGCATATTTCCGATGTGTAACGGTCGGGTAAAATCGACTGAAGTCGATTAATTAAAGTATTTTTGCATATGCATTAAAATATCTCAGAAACTAAGAATTGGACCTGCATACTGCAAGCGAGGGAAATGTTCAGCATTTCATCCTTTTTGTAGTGAGCTATTATATTTTCTATTGACGTAACGCCATATTATACGGGCGACATAACAAATATAGTATCTTCTGTGAGAAAGCGGATGGCAAAAGAAGTAGAGGACGCCCTGGGATCAGCAGGTTGGAGGATTCGGAGGACGATTTAAAGCGGCGGGGTATTAGAAGATGGAGGATGGTATCACAGGAACGTGCAGATTGGTTGGCTGTAGAGAAGTTTGGATTCTTTCAGGACCGTAGTGCCACTGTAATAATAATAATAATAATAATAATATAAACGGTATGTACGTTCTTCATCATTTGAATCCCATTGCAAATCAAATTGAAGTTATTTATTTTCTGGCACAATCCAATTCTCATAAATTTTAAGTAAACTTTTTTTTTTCCAAAACCCTAATTTTACTGTACATTTTATTACAACTCTTAAAAATAACTAAATCACAACAGCAGAAATGAATATGTATATTTGTTCTCAGTGAGACTCTCAATTTCTTCCTCCCAGCTGCAGCAAGTAGATGCTTATTAGGATTAGTTAAATAAATCATACTTATTATAAAACTATATAGTTTTTCTCAATAACTTACTTAATTATGTTAATGTTTTTTTTTCTCATGAATTCTACTAATTTTACTAACCATAATAATAGACTTCCAGATAATTTCGAAACCCACAAGATTTCGTATATGGTTGCGCTCCTGTTTCTTTCATTGTCTGAAGTGGTTGGATTTTTCCACGGCCTACTCCTCGTTTATGGATCGGACATCTCTTCTCCTCAGATGATCCGGGACTCGATGGTTCTAGCGATCATCACAACAGTAAGCAACTGGATGTCCCTTTTCACCATCTTCTTGACGGGGCTTCCGCTGGAAATGGCGACTCAGCCTTTGTTTATGACCGCCTTCACGTTCATGGCTTTATTCGTCAGCAACAGTTACTATTTCGTACTTCACGAATTGTTATTTTGTGATACCATTATAAGAAG